TTGGGCTTTAGGGGCATTGCACTGGATTTGCCATGGGACGTTGCCCCTAGACCCTTGCAAGCTGACCGGGCAGCTTGATCCCCGTACATAGTCAGTGAAGCGGCCAACAATGAAAGCCTCAACATCACAAACTCCTCTGTACATGCACAATTTGGGTTGGGTTCGCATCTAAACACTTACATCCTTACTGAAACATAAGAGCGAATAAAATTACGACTGAAAGGAGTTTTGTCAAACAAGATTGCCAATTTGGATTGGATTCGTTTCTAAACACTCACATCCTGACTGAAACATAAGAGCAAATAAAATTACAATTGAAAATAATTTTGTCAAACGGGATTGCCAATAACAAAAACCTAATAATTTTCTCATTAAAAAGGAAAGAAAAGATTATTTTTAGTAGCTAAAGATTGTACATTTGTCGCTCAAATTCTTTTTAGTTGGCATTTTTAGTCACTGAAGATGTATTTTTTTGTAGTGAAGGACAGACAACTATAAATGTTCAAAGATCTCAAGCCATTAATGATATTAAGACCACTCTCACTAAATTAACCTCTTCATTGAGAATTCAAGAAAATGGTAGATTTCATTCTCAACCTCTACCTAACCCACAAGGTCAATATGGTGTTAGTGATAATTCCCCTTTTAGTACTCAGCTTGAACATGTTAAATCAGTTGCTACTCTTCGTAGCGGAAAAATTATTCACAAAACCATTCCAATGAAGGCTCAAAAGCCTAAGGATGTTTTTGAACCTGAGAGTAGTGATAAACTTAACAAGTCTGAGCCGAATGAAGAGGTGAGATGTCCTATTTCTGCTCTTTTTCCTCAAAGGTTGCAACCACCATTTCAGAAGTTGAACCAAAATTTAGAAAATTTTGAAATCTTCAAACAAGTCAAAGTCAACATACCTTTGTTAGATGCAATATAAACAAATCTTGTGATATGCAAAATTACAGTCAAGCGAAAGCTTAATGTACAAAAGAAATCCATTTGGACAGAACAAGTGAGTGATATTATTCAGCAAAATTCTCTATTAAAATATAAGGATCCGGGATGTCCCACAATTTCATGTGTGATTGGGAATCATAGGATAAAATCAAGCTCTACTCAACCTTAGGGCTAACGTGAATCTTTTGCCTTGCTCGGTTTATGAACAATTAGGTCTAAGTGAGCTTAAACCAACTTCAATAACACTTCAACTAGCTGACCATTCTATGTGAAAGCCGATGGGTATAGTAGAGGATATGTTGGTCCAAATTGACAAATTTTATTTTCCTGTTGATTTTATAATCTTAGACACACAACCTGTAGCACTTGCAAGCACTCAAATTCTAGTCATTTTAGGTTGCCTATTTCTTGTAACTTCTAATACTTTGATTAATTGTAGGAGTGGTGTTATGAAATTATCTTTTGGCAATATGACTGTGGAATTAAATATTTTTTATATTTCGAATTCAAATAGGGATTTTGAGGATACTCATGAGGTGAACTTGATTAACACTCTTGTGCAGGACCAGTTTTTGCTCCCTTCTTGCATTAATTCTCTTGAAGCATGGCTAACTCATTTTAATGATTTTGATGAGAATTATATGCTTACTTTTGTTAATGTTTTGTTAGAGTTTGCTCCACTTATGGACATATATCTGTTACTTCATCAAACAAAGATAGACAGAGGGTTATATTGTGACATGGAAGCAACATCATGATTTTAATTATTAAAATTAAAACTCTGGAGTTTAAATTGAAAAACACGGGAAACATTGGAATTTAATGCTGGTGAAGTGCCCTCTGAGATGTGGGCAAATTTTAAGGGAGCATTAATATAATAAATCTTATTTTCATAACTTATGGACCATTTTATCCCATAAATATTTTTATATGTTTATAAGTCCAATTTCACATTAAAATATCTCAAATGAAATGTACCCACATTTGGAAACGTAATAAACATTATAATGATGTCTCATTATCACATTTTAAGAACGACACATTTGTCAAAAGTTTAATAAGACAATAATGCTCAAATATATCATTGTCACATTTTGAAAAGAATGACACACTTAAAAAAAATATATAATAATAATAATAATACAATACTAGATACATTAGAATGATGTCCCAATGTCACATTGTAAAAATGATACATTTGAAAAAAGTTTAATAAGACAATATTGCGCAAATGTCTCGTTGTCACAATGACATATTTTACAAAAATTTAATAAGAAAATAGTGTACACATAGAATAATATCACATTGTTACATTAAGAATGATATATTTGGAAAAAGTTTAATAAGAAAATAGTACACAAATATCTCATTGTCACATTAAAGAACATTTGACAAAAATTTAATAAGATAATAGTGTACACATTAGAATAATGTCACATTCTAATAATGACATATCTGACAAAAATTTAATAAGACAATAGTGCACAAATGAAACCTATTCACATTTGGAATCTCCAAAAAATATAATGAAAGGACCTCAAGCTACCTTTTCAAATTCAATGAGACTTAATAGTTTACAAGAAAATTCTTGAGATTTTTTGGTATATACTTTTCTGGGTTGGGACTTCCAAGTAAAATTCCAAATTTTAAGTGGTTGATGGTTTCTCCCTTTTGTTTGAACTAATCATTTTTGTATTCTTAAATCGTTTTTGTTTGAACTAAGTGGTTGCTGGTTACTTTTTTAGGATTTTTTGTGTTGAACAATGAAAGCTTCCAATATGGATGTAGCTTTTCCAACTCTCTTTTAATTGTGTTCATTTACCGTCTTATTCTATCTAATGTAGTCTTTGACACTTGAAAATTCTTACTTTCCTTTTTAGGTATTAACACCGGGTTATGTGTAGCATCCTTAATGCTTTAATGAAACCTCTCCTTTTTGCTCATACATCTTATCAAGTTTTGATACATAGGTTGTTTGATGTAATATCTAAAGGATCATAAGTACACGTATATGCTTATTTTATCTTTGCTGATGCTTTAATGTAATCTCATGGTTCATTTTAAATTTGCTCCAATATTGGGTTGGGCTGATGAATATGATGGTGGTGTTGCAAACTAATTTGTACTGCATTGAATGGATTTTGAGTTAGGTGTTAGCTTCCTTGTGTTGTCAATTTTGCAAACAAACACATTTAAGTTGTATTATTGTTTTTGGTTGTTTTGTGTCCTATGTATGGGATCCTTGTTCATCTTGTCAATCTACATGGACCGCTCGAGCAAAGGAGCTTGCACTCGAGCACGGGCAAAGAAGTTGGTCTTCCAGTATTTCAGTCTTTGCTTTGAGATATTGGGAGGTTTCTTTTACCACTGAAGCGATAACTTTAGCGCTCGAGTGAAGTGACAGGTGTGTTATTTGTTCCACCGCCTCTTAGACACACTGCTCAAACGGTCTTTCCTTTACTCGAGTGGTATTCACAACCCTGTTTTGTTTAAATCTACCTCAATTGCATATTTTAAGGTTATAACTTCCAGATTTGAGACTTGAGACTTGAAAACTTTTGTATATTCTTATAGAGAGCTTTGCTATAGTTTCCCTTGATTTTGTGAGTTTGTTGCCTCACATGGTTTAAATTGCACATATCAATGGGCTTGTTATGATTCAACTTTTCTAGAGCATTCATCGGTGGATTCCGAAGGGTTTGAGCTTAGAGGGTTCGAAGGTATTCGAAGTAGCTCATCCTCGTGGATTCGACTTGGATATTATGGATTCAACACTGGGCTAGTCAATTTTGAGACAAAGATGTTGGTGGAAGAGACACAAGGAGTGGAAGTCAATTCTTGAGTGAGCATTGGGTCATGGCGTGTACTCTTGTGTAATTTCATTATCTTCATAGTGGATTGTTTAGTGGTTTTTAGTTCGTGATTTTTTCTATCACAATTAGAGGTGCTCCAATTTTAGTTTTTCCACGTTAAATCTTTTGTATTGATTTATCAATTGTGAAACAACAAGCTCAATCACTTTCGTTCGTGATGATTTAGATTATTTGTTTTGTGTTTTTGGGATTTGTAGTAATTGAATATATTTCAAATCATGAATCACATAACTTAGGATTTTTTGTTAGGCATGTTGTATGCGTTATTTTTTTTATCTAATCATTTGTGATTATTTAACATTTAAGGGTTAAAAGTCTTGAGTGCTAATATATACACTAACTATTTTAATGTAAACATAGTTTTTTTTTCAGTGATAGTGTCATTGTAATTTGGGAATTTAGCATTCAATTATGTGAAATAAATTAAAATTTTCTTTCACCGAAGGATGGTTCAAAAGATTATTTTTACTTAGAGTGCCTTTAAGAACAGGTCATTCACTAGTCTATATAAGAAGAGGGGGGCTAGTTTTGGTCCAGAAGGCCTCCCTAACTTTGCTCCATTTGTTTTGACAAAAAATATATTTGAATGAAAAAACAAATTTTACAAAAAACTTTTTCATAAAACGTTTTCCATAAAAAATGTTTTCCTATGTTCAGTTGTGTTTTTCAAACTAATGTACTATTACTTGCATTAGTGGTGATAGTAGCGGCAGCAGCTGGAAAGAGGTGGAAGTATTGGTAGCGGCGGCAGTGGCTGTAGTGGTATGGTGATGGTTATGGTGGTGTGGTGGTAGAGGTGATAATAGTGGTGGTAACGCGGTAATTGGTGAAACTTTAGTTCGAAAAATATTTTTCACCTTTCAAAAGCAGAAAATATTTTCCGTCCAAATAGGCTTGTTTTCTGTTGACCATGGAAAATGTTATTTTTATTTTCTGTTGTAACAAACACCAATAAACGCAAAAACTATGTTTTAGAAAATATTTTTTTCCCAAACAAACAAATTATTAGCTTTGTTTTTTTGTTATATATATATATATATATATTTGTTCCAAAAGGCCACCCTAGCTTTCACAAGTTCAACCACTTTAGAGCCTTAGAAAGAAGAGTTGTTAAAATTCTCATTGTACTTGTATAAATCATTGACGGAGAAAATACTTAAACTGTGTGTTTCTCTTGATTATAAATCCTCTTGATTGTCCCTGTATTCAAGATGATGGACTGCCCACAAACCATTACAAATTATAAATTAACTTAAGATCTATCCAGGTTAATCATAGAAGGAGAGGCCTCTTCCATCTATGCTGGAGGGTCGAAAAACTGGGCAGTCATTGGAGCTAAACAATGAGTAAGATAGTTTCCTTCCCTACCCACATGAGAAACCAAACTACTCCTAATTACTCAACAGCTAGAAATAGCCAACTAATATTTTTACTAAAATCAATTTGGTATTTTGAAATATCTAATTATAAACTACACTGCGCAGTTAAACTTTCATTACAGACAACTACCACCAAAATAAAAGAACTTACATACTCATTTAAATGCCAAATTAGTAAAAGTACGTGCACACAATTTTCACATACACTGTCTTTACACCATAAGTATCTATACTATTATATTACCTAAAGAAGACATATAAGGAACTATTACATAATTTACTATCTAGTGGGATAGTACTCAATTATTTGTTCTTTTGAACACACAAATTGGTCCACATCTTCTGGATATGATAATCTAGATAGGATAGGTCGTGATCCTGTAGGAAGACTGGAACTACGCATGACTTTGGCATAACCATTCATGCCCCAACTTGTACCCCAAGAATTTTGAATCACCTTCGCAATTCTCCACGAGCTCCTTGTAAGCTTCAGGCATGCAACTTTTCATGGTGTCCAAGTCCTCCGGTGTTCTTATTCCAGCTACCACATCCTCTCCCTATTCAAAGATGTTAAAACTCAAGCTAAAATAGTTTGTGGTAAAATAAAATGATCAATAGAATGATGTTGATTACATGTAGAACTAAAATGGGGGTTGAATTTTGGAGACCTGAGCATTAACTAGAAACTCCCCATAGAGCTTATTTTCGCCGGTGCTCGGGTTCCTAGTGAAGAGGACCCCTGTCCCGGACGTGTTTCCCATGTTCCCAAACACCATGCATTGAATATTCACTGCTGTACCCATTAACCCGGTTATCTGGTTAATGCTCCGATACTTTATAGCTCTTGGGCTGTCCCAGGAGTCAAAAACTGCTTGAACAGCCAACTGTAATTGTTTCTTTGGGTCTGCAGATAAAAACAAGTATAATGTGGTTATAAACTTGACCATAGCAATATGCATGTCAACCAAGGAAGCAAGGATGCAGATATGATAGGATATGAAAACGGTGATCCAAAAAAACCTGGAAAAAAAAAAAAAAAAAAGCATATGTATATGAAGAAAAAAATATGTAGTTTAAGATTAATATAAAAAGTACTAAGATTTAATGATCTTACAACAACGACGTTGATTTCTGACTTCATTAAGTAAACCCTTTTCCATCCAATTAATAGTCGACATATTATCAAAAGAGATAGCTTGTACATAAAAAAAATAAAAAATAAATTAAAAAAATTCTAAATTAAATAATTATGGCATATACTTTACATGATCAATTTGTGTACAACTTTAACAAATAGTACTTTATACAAGATTCAAACTTAAAAAGCACCCCCTACCATTATGTTTATGCCAAATCTTTGCAATTCATCATTCTATAATAACTTTATCCAAACTAGTGTTAGCTCCATCCACTACCCACATGGTAAGGAGCCCACCATCCACATGGTATAGGTGGCACCATGTAGTAAAGGAAGCTGGTGGGGGCAATACCAACTCACCAAAGGTAGATGGTGAGGGTGGCACAACCAAGCCCACTCATGGTTGTCACTTCATCTACTCCTCTTTTCTTGGTTATAAATTGAGATGAGTAAGGAGGGGTTAGAGACACAATGGAAGTGACACACTGAGCTGAGAATACACAGAGGAGAGTATAATCATTGAGAGAGAGTGCATACTATAGAGGGTTGTGAGGTGTGAGGCGTGAGTTATAATCTCCCTCCGGGATAATTCTATAGTGGATATCACTCCGTGGACGTAGGCAATTGCCGAACCACGTAAATATTCTTGTGTTATTGTATGTGATTGATTTCTGGTATCCTATAGTCCTAACAAGTGGTATCAGAGCCGAATCGGTTGCGTTTCGGAACAAAAATAGTGTGTTTTTCGAAACTGCCCAGAAATCAAGTTGCCCAAGATCAGGTTTTGAGCATACCAGAAGCAAGGACTCCAAGAGAGGAGTCCATAACTACAAAGAACAGCCCAAGAAGAGCCAAAACGCGCCCTCACGCGCCTCCCAAAGCCTGCGCGTGAATCCTACTCTCTGCAAGCGCTCCACGCGTCGTGAAGAAGGACCGGCGCGTGATCTCACTTTCTACCACGTGCCACAGGCGTTGCTCAAGGAGGAAGATGAGTGTGTCGCGCGCGTGTGTGACGTTAGACACCACATCATCGGCCACGTGTCTGCCACGTCAGCGCCACGTGTTTGACACGTCATTGACGGATCGCTGCCACGTGTCTGACACGTAAGTGCCACGTCACTGACACGTGGCTGCCAAGTCAGCAAATCATTGCCACGTTTCTACCCACGCCATCAGACCTGTTGACCAGTCAACCCAGAGGTAGAGAGTGATCCGCTGTTGTACGGCTAAGGTACACCTTCAGATCTGAACTGTCCAAACTGTTTTGGCCTGATCTGAGCCATTCTGAGTCCATTTTTGATGATCCAATAGTGGTTTTCAACTATTTGGAGTATTTCGGACACATCCGTATGGTCAGATTTTTCATTTGGATTTTTTTGTAATAGAAAAGAATACGATGGAGGATTCCACATTAACTTTAGAATCTATCTTCAAGTTAACTCCTAATTATGCAATTTGGAAGTCACAGATGGAAGACATCCTGTTTTTAAAAGACTTGTTTGACCCTAGTTTTATAAAGATGGTTAAACCTGAAGGAGTGAAAGATGATGACTGGATAAAGATGAACTGCAAGACTATCGCTTGTATCAAACAATGGATAGACCACAGTGTGTTCCATCATGTTGCCGAAGAGACAGATGCATATGCTCTTTGGACAATGTTAAACGACATGTACCAGTCAAAGACCGTCCAAAACAAAGCCTTGGTAATGAGAAGGCTAGTAAATCTGAAGTTGAAGAATGGTGTGTCTATCGCCGAGCACACCAGTGAATTCAAAAATATGGTGAATCAGCTTGCAACCGTCAAGATGCGCTTGGACGATGAAATGCAAGCCGTACTGCTGCTTAGTTCTTTACCGAACAGCTGGGAGACATTGGTGGTTTCTCTTAGCACCTCTACACCAGAAGGGAAACTGACCATGAGCATGGTCACAGACGCCATGTACAATGAAGAAACAAGAAGGAAAGACATGGGAGGTAATCAGTCCCATGCTCTTGTCATAGAAGATAGAGGCAGAGACAGAGGTAAAGGAAGAAGTAGAGGAAGAAGCAAGAGTAGAGGCAGCTGGAACAACAGGAGTAAATCCAGAGACAACAAAGGTCGAGGTAACTCCAGCTTCACTTGCTTTCACTGTGGCTAGGAGGGTCACATAAAGAGAAACTGCCCAAGCCAGAAAGGGAAAGGCCAAAGCAGTAAGTCAAAAGGAGATGAGAACACAACAGCCACAACAACTGATGAAATACTTCTTGCAGTTGGTGAAGAGGAAGATTGCGTTCACGTGGCTGACTACAGCTACACAGAATGGGTGATAGACACAGCTGTATCCTATCACGCCACTTCCCATAGAGAACTCTTCAGCTCGTACAACACTAGAGATTTTGGCACTGTTCGAATGGGGAATTCTAACTATTCGAAGATTGTGGGTATTGGAGACATTAGTATTCAAACTAATGTCGGGAACAAGCTGGCCCTCAAAGATGTGAGGCATGTTTTAGATTTGTGCCTCAATCTTATCTCCGGAAGCACCCTGGACCGACAGGGCTATACAAGTACATTCGAAAATAGCCGTTGGAAGCTAACAGGAGGAGCTTTGACAATCGCCAGAGGAGAGATGTCTTCAACACTGTATAAGACTCAAATGAAGATCTGTCTAGGAAGTCTTAATGCAGCAGAAGACAATGAGTCACCAAATTTATGGCACAGAAGACTGGCTCACATGAGTGAGAAGAGATTGTATCTGTTGACAAAGCAATCCAAGATACCTTTATCCAAAATGAGTGCCTTGAAGCCGTGTGATCATTGTCTTTATGGCAAGTAACATCGAGTATCATTCAGTTCAACGAGCAAGAGGAAAACAAAAGTGCTCAGTATGGTATATTCGGATGTTTGTGCCCAATCGAAGTGGAGTCACTTGGTGGCCGCAAGTATTTTCTGACTTTTATTGATGATGCATCAAGGAAGTTGTGGTATATTTCCTAAAAATGAAGGATGAGGTATTCCAGCACTTTCAAGAGTTCCATGCAATGGTGGAAAGAGAAATCCTAGTCTCAGATACGCGCTTCATGTACCAAAGACTATACCGGCGTGTCACAGTAGTCGCAGACATGCATTTGACGCACAACAAAAGGAAGAAGGAGAGTGCCTTGCGCGTGATAGTGATACCATCGACACGTGCCTGACACGTTATCACTACGTGTCTGCCACGTCATCGCCACGTGTCAATAGATCATTGACACGTGTGTGCCAAGCCACTGCCACATCACTGGTCCAGAAGAAAGGTATCATATTCTCACTTGAGAGTCTTCGGGTGTAAGGCCTCTGCACACATCTCCAAGGAAAACAGACAGAAGCTTGATGACAAGTCCACTCCATGCATATTTGTGGGCTATTCACATGCAGTATTTGGGTACAAGTTATGGAACCCATTGAACAGGAAGATGTCCAGGAGCAGAGATGTTGTGTTCTAAGAAAACCAGACAGTAGCAGATTTTGAGAAATCTGCAAAGTCTAGAGATGTCATCACTCCAAACTTGTTTCTATCTCCCGAGCCATCACAAAATGCTAGATGTGATGATGTGCAACAAGAAGTGCCAGAGTTGCAGGATCTTATGCCAGAAATTGAGGATCAGGAGGAAAGAGATGAAGACCCGGATGAAGAGGGTGTTGAGCAGGGGGAGCAACCCCCTCAAATAGAGGCAACTGGGCCTCAGTTATGGAGATCTGGAAGAGCTGCTGTGCCATCAACCAAATATCCCACTTCTCAGTATATTCTGATTACTGATGAGAGGGAGCCCGAGAGTTTTTCAGAAGCCAAGAGTCATACAGAGAAAGAATGTTGGATGCAAGCCATGAAGGAGGAGATGAGTTCTTTGCAGAAGAACCACACTTATGAGCTTGTTCCACTTCCAAGAGACAGGAGAGCCTTGAAAAATAAATGGGTGTATAAGTTAAAGAAAGATGGAAACGGTAAACTATTGTAGCATAAAGCTCGTTTGGTGGTCAAAGGCTTTAGACAGAAGAAAGGAATTGATTTTTGATGAGATCTTCTCCCCAGTTGTGAAGATGACTTCTATTCGAGTAGCTCTGGGATTAGCAGCTCGCTTGAATCTGGAAGTAGAACAAATGGATGTCAAGACTGCCTTTCTCCATGGTGATTTGGAGGAAGAGATCTACATGGAGCAACCAGAAGGATTTGAAGTTAAAGGAAAACAGAAACTAGTCTGCAAATTGAAGAAGAGTCTATACGGCCTGAAACAGGCACCGAGACAATGCTACAAGAAGTTTGATTCATTTATGGTGGATCACGAGTACACAAGAACGGTGGCAGACCAGTGTGTATATTTCAAAGGTTTTTGAATGGAAACTTTATTATCCTACTGTTGTATGTCGATGATATGCTGATCATCGGGCATGATACTACTATGATCAACAAGTTGAAAAAGGATTGGTTGCAGTATTTTGACATGAAGAATTTAAGCCCAGCACAGCAAATTTTGGGCATGAAGATTGTTCGTGACAGGAAAGCCAAGAAGATATGGCTTTCATAGGAGAAATATGTTGAACGGGTAATTGAAAGGTTCAACATGAAAGATGCCAAGCCAGTCAGCACACCACTGGCCAACCATTTCAATGTGTCAAAGCGTTCGTGTCCCACGACTAGCTCTGCAAGGAAAGAAATAGAGACAATCCCTTATTCTTCCGTAGTAGGAAGTTTGATGTATGCAATGGTGTGTACCCGGCCAGATATACCTCACACAGTTGGCGTTGTAAGCAGATTCCTCGCCAATCCAGGAAAGGAGCATTGAGAGGCAGTCAAATGGATGCTTCGGTACTTGAAGAGAACTTTAAAGATGTGTTTATGTTTCGGGGGAGTTGAACCAATTTTGGAGGGTTTTACAGATACCGATATGGCAGGTGATCTTGATGGTAGAAAGTCTACATCAGGATTTCTGTTCACCTTTGCAGGGAGAGCTATTTCATGGCAGTCCAAACTACAAAAATGTGTTGCTTTATTTACAACAGAGGCAGAGTACATTACTGCCGCAGATGCTGGAAAGGAAATGTTGTGGTTAAAACGGTTTCTCCAAGAATTAGGCCTACAGCAGGAAGAGTACAAGGTACATTGTGATAGTCAAAGTGCAATTGATTTGAGCAAGAATTCCATGTACCATTCACGCACAAAACAAATTGATATCCGGTATCATTGGATACGAGAAGTGATGGAAAAACAGCTGATAAAGCTAGTGAAGATTCACACAGACAAGAATCCTTCTGACATGATGACCAAGGGTGTCACCAGAGACAAACTGGAAGTTTGCAAGCATCTGCTTGGGATGGACTTCAAGTGAGAAGTCAGTTATCCATGTGGGCGTGGAGGGGGAGAATTGTTAGCTCCATCCACTACCCACATGGTAAGGAGCCCACCATTCACATGGTATGGGTGGCACTATGTGGTAAAGGAAGCTGGTGGGGCAATACCAACTGACCAAAGGTAGATGGTGAGGGTGGCACAACCAAGCCCACTCATGGTTGTCATTTCACCTACTCCTTTTCTCTTGGTTATAAATTGAGATGAGTGAGAAGGGGTTAGAGACACAATGGGAGTGACACACTGAGCTGAGAATACATAGAGGAGAGTATAATCTGTGAGAGAGAGTGCATACTATAGAGGGTTGTGAGGTGTGAGGTGTGAGTTGTAATCTCCCTCCAAGATAATTCTATAGTGGATATCACTCCGTGGACGTAGGCAACTGCCGAAGCACGTAAATATTCTTGTGTTATTGTGTGTGATTGATTTCTGGTATCGCATAGTCCTAACAACTAGG